AACGGATTGATTAAGTAATGTACGAAGTTCTACTAACTTTAACTTCTGCTTATAATTTACCATAAACGAGTTCGATTTCAATCTTGCAGACCACAATTATTTGTATGTAGAAAATAATTTAAATTTATTAAAAATAGTTTTTCGTCAAGAGGTGAATTTTTTTTTTGCGTTATGATCTTGCATATTAGCCATGGTGACAATTCTTATATGTGTGTTCAAATTAGGGGAGTTATCGTGAAAAAAGGGCCAGAGGCGACGGTGGGAATCGAACCCACGACCGCGGCGTGAGAGTCTCTCATGCTAACCACTCGGCCCCAATTATTATATTTAAATTCTAAACCTTGGAAGGAGGAGAGAGATCAATTATGTCCTCTCTGTGACTCACATACTGTAGAAATGGGCTTCCCAAACTGTGGTTCCTTAAGTAGAGGGTTCGCGGCGCATTTTCAGAAAATTTAATAATTACAGAAATAAACGTAGAATGAATAACTAAAATTAAAATAACGAATAACAAAGATTACTGAAAATCATTATTTTTTATTCACAAATTTCGTGGTCCGCTTGACCAATTAATATATTACAATTAATTAAGGTTTTTAGGTGAGATAAAAAAGTCGATGGCACGAGCGGGATTCGAACCCACGATCTTCGGCTTGATACGCCGCTGCTCTACCACTTGAGCTATCGTGACCTCGATTCACTCGGACACCAACCTCCCATCTCAACCGCAATGTTTTTAAAGAACAATGTACTGTAAAAAGTAAGTGCATATTAGCTTGAAAACGTCCAGTAAATAATTTTAAATTGGACCATCCATTACCACCTTTTCAGCAAGTTTGATCAGTAAAATAGCAATTTCTTATTAATATAACTGAGTCTATGGTGAGATATAATATTAAGTTCACTAATTTCGTGGTCCGCTTGACCAATTAATATATTACAATTAATTAAGGTTTTTAGTTGAGATAAAAAAGTCAATGGCACGAGCGGGATTCGAACCCACGATCTTCGGCTTGATACGCCGCTGCTCTACCACTTGAGCTATCGTGACCTCGATCCACTCGGACACCAACTTCCCATCTCAACCGCACCTTTTGAATTTTCCCTCCTTTTTGCCATTTTTATTATTTTTTATTTATTCATTCAATGTTTAGTTTTACACACATATGCAAAATAGGTGAGGTAAGTGAGTGATCTGTTTTCTAGTCATTGTTGATACTAGGGTAATTCATTACCGGGAATTTGCTTCTAGAACCCTCTGAAATTTTCCAATGAATATAAAAAGCCATTGTTTTTCGAAAATGTGATTCAAGCTCTAATATTTCTCGCGAGTGCACTACCTATTTGAGTCATTCTCAATGGCCAGTTACTTACTCGAATATAGATAGTGGCTGAAGTCAATATTTCTAATGAAGCACTTTCTCCATCACGTGCACAGACAAGTGGCAAAACTGATGAGATTTTTGGACGATTTTGATACAACAAACGATATTCCATGATGTAATTGCACTGACATGCGCACAGGTGATGAAAGAGGAATGATTGGCCAAACGATCAGAGTGATTGATAAATTAAAAGATAAATGGAAGTATTGCAGCAGCAGGTACTGTGTTTTCCACAGACATGTGTTCCTCTTTTAATAAAGTTTTGGATGAGTTTGTTCAAATTATTAATTGCAACAAATCGGGGTCATTGAAGTCAAGACTTTTCACATTTTATGTGACTATGTGGGAAGCCTTCGTCTTCTTTATATACAAGTAAGGTGGCTGACACTTGGCAAGCACTTTCACAATTACGGGAATTACGTTCTGAATTCTGATCTCTGTTAATGGATCATAATGTCAAATTGGCCAAAGTTCAACGATGAAAATTGGCTATGTATACTGTCGTATTTATTCAGATATTTTCATGAAAATGAATGAGATGAGTCTTTCTTTGCAAGGAAAAAATATCAAAACTTTTGATGCTGATGGCAAAGTGCGCGCCTTTAAATGAAAAATCCAGTTTTGGGTTGAATCTGTTGAGAAGAGAGAGGTGGAGTGTTTTCATGTGTTAAATGATGTTTTTTTTTATAAAGAAAACTCACTGGAGCTTACGGTGTGACGATCGATTGCCGAAATATGTGACCACTTTCGAATGTAGTTTTGAAATGTCATTTAAGCACTACTTTTTAGCAGCTCGAGATCTAACACTTCAAGGCTGTCAAACCGTTTTAAAAGCTAATCAGTCTTCAAGTGAATACGAATATCGATAGACATTACTTCAAACTCCACCTTGAAATCTGCTTTCGAGTTTGATACCCTCATTTTTGGCTCCGTCGGGAATATAAAAAGTTTCAACTAAAATATCGAAGCAGTCTGGGTGTTGAACCTGACGCCCGTCTCCATCTACCCAAAATTAAACCCAACATGTCCGACGACTAAAACAACCCACTCTTCCCATTATTTTATGAATAATTAATGTTTAAATTATTACAATTAATTAAGGTTTTTAGTTGAGATAAAAAAGTCAATGGCACGAGCGGGATTCGAACCCACGATCTTCGGCTAGATACGCCGCTGCTCTACCACTTGAGCTATCGTGACCGCGATCCACTCGGACACTAACTTCTCATCTCAACCCCACCTTTTGAATTTTCCCTCCTTGTTGCCATTTTTCAAATGTCGTGTAATAAGTGAATATAATGATTTAAAATGAAGTATACTTCACTAAAGCTTTCCGTGGCCATTTCATTTGTCGTCGAGAATCCAATCCGATTACACGACATTTGAAAAATGGCAAAAAGGAGGGAAAATTCAAAAGGTGGGGTTGAGATGGGGAGTTAGTGTCCTAGTGGAGAGGTCACGATAGCTCAAGTGGTAGAGTACCGGCGTATCTAGCCGAAGATTGTGGGTTCGAATCCCGCTCGTGCCATTGACTTTTTTATCTCAACTAAAAACCTTAATTAATTGTAATATATAATTGGTCAAGCGGACCACGAAATTAGTGAATTTAAATTATTACTTTAGAATTTGGCTCGATGTTAACTACTTATCGATTCCGTTCTGTCCAATTTGATTTTTGTGTTCCGGATTTTGTAAATAAAGTTAACTATGTCAATCTAATGTTTGTTTTCATAGTGATATCTCCCTCCATCACCTAATGAGGAATGAACTGGTTAATTTATCAAACTTTAACTTACTGCATAATTTAAGCACTTAATTTTATCTATTTAAATGAAAGTGGTCTGCTTGGGTTTTGTTCTGTCAATGGGGTCCGCTGGCTAAAAAGCTTGGGAAGCTCTGTTGTAGAAGATTTATTTAGTTTTAAGCTATTTTCCCAACCTTAAATAGAATTAGATTGATTTGGTTGTAGATGCGCGAAAATACAGAGACAATTTTATGTTATATTTTTAATTTATATGTTACATTTATCATTAATTATATTCATTCTATGTAATATCCCGTTGTTTTTGTAGCCCGGTGAAGAGTTAATAAATCAAAACTAATAAATCAAAGTTTCATTTAGCAATTCCTTTACCACAACTCGTGGAAAGACAAGCATAAATAAAAATAACTATTTTTCTTAAAAGACGTATAAGTTTATTGTTTATTACTATTATCATTACATACTGAGAGGGACGAATCGATCTTGCTGTTTTTTAGTTTTTGTCAATGGGCCCTAGGAATGGAGAAAAAATTAACATAATTTTTTGAAATATTTTTTCTTTCATTGGTGTGTATTTATTTCAAAAATTTAAATATCAGTCGGTCGTTTTTGTTAATCTAAGCTAAGGAAATAATATGAAAGATCGTGTGATATGAGATCAAACATTTAAGAAGTTAAAATAACCAAAACGTGCTTCATGGAAAGTGGGTAAAAAAAGTTTTACATTTCAGTGTGTTCTTAAAACACACTAAAACTATGAAATACGAATATTCATCCCAAAAAAGAATACACATTTTTGGGTTTATTTAGTAGGGGTCAATTTTTTGTCATCCGGTGTTTCATTTAAAAATTCATAAAGGCCTTTGATTTTATTCAAATTCAAGGTAATGACAACTGTTGTAAAGCACGATCGTTTATTGTTCAAGCTATGTCAAAGTGAGAAAAATAAGGACAAATTCAATCAAAACACCCCAAACGTTATATTTTCTATCTCCGGTCTGTTAATTTATTTACGAAGATTAAAGTTATGCCATTGCTCGTACTTTAGAGGGTTTAAGTCTCTGTAAAATTTCCGTTAGATCAGTTTAAAATTACAAAATACATTGAGCATGTGTACCATAGATATTTAATTAAATACGTAATTTACGATTAAGAGTGACGTAGTAAAGAAGATTATTTAGAGATCATGAGATGGGTTTGGTGTGATGATTTTCTTTAGCGTGCCAACGTTTCGATCTTTATTGAGATCATCTTCAGCGACGTAGTAAAGAAGGTTAAAATTGTTAGTAAAAAAATAAAACGGTAAATTTTTTTAATTAAAATTTAAAAAAATTGCAACATTTTCGAACATCATAAAAACGACTCCACTGATCAACAGGAGAATTTAGGAGCATTTAGAACATCATAAACTACAAACAGCGCCTATCTACCTGAAATGGAACGGAAAACTAAACTGTTTGAGGCGTTTTTGTTAATTTCATCCTTATTTTCCCCATTCTTATTTCTCTCTTATCGTACTCATATTTCAAAAAGAAATATTCTTCCTTCTAATAATTGCTAATGTTCTAATAATACATATTATACAAGTTTTTTCTCCGATCCTGGTGCACATTGACACACACATCGACAACTATTCATTATCCTTAACAAGTTTGTAATTTTTTTATAAGCTATATTTTTTTCACATACATAAAAGATGTAAGGTGGAATAAAAGTTTGTTTAAAGATTAGTACTACTTTATGATGTAAATTCAATTGGAATTGACATGAATAAAAAATCTCTTGTGTACGGCACAAATGTTCCTTTTCAGCTGTTGCACACCAGATTATCTTACATTGCTCAACTGTTTCAGGTGGCAACGAGCTCAAACCTATGGATGAAAGGAAAGAAACTAACACGAAGGATTGGATTTGCAAAGGAAAGCAGGGTATAGTTTTCGTAACGAAAAATTCAAGCATCATCACAGTGCAGGTCGGCAGCAAAGTACTACTTCCGTGTACTATCAAGAACCTGTGTGATGGAACGGTAAGTCATTCAGATGTTTCACCTACTAATGCTTGACTTGGGTGACACACGCTGTTTTATTAGTCAAATTAATCAAACTAATAATTGACTAACCATCAGCTAGGCTCTCCTACATGGTAGAGAATATTTTAACTATTAGTGTATTGTACTTTGAAATATTTAAAGCAATGGATAAATCAGAATGGTAGAGAAACAAAAAAGCAACTTTTTTTTACTAAAATTAATTAAGGTTTTTAGTGGAGATAAAAAAGTCAATGGCAAGAGCGGGATTCGAACCCACGATCTTCGGCTAGATACGCCGCTGCTCTACCACTTGAGCTATCGTGACCTCGATCCACTCGGTCACTAACTTCCCATCTCAACCCCACCTTTTTGAATATTCCCTCCTTTTTGCCATTTTTTTATCACAACTAAAAACCTTAATTAATTGTAATGTATTAATTGGTCAAGCGGATCACGAAATTAGTGAACTTTTTTTTTACTTTTTTTTACTTAAACAGTCAAAAAATATTTTCATCTATTTATTTATTTAAGTTACGTTGTGAGCAGGAGTTTCTTCCTTTTTAAAAATGTAAGTTTTATTTAAAAAGGATTGCCGATATGCCTACAGTGAAGGGTCAAATTTATCTTCTTAATCTCTCCTCTTATATTTCCCTTGGTTCAACTTTTATCACCTCGAGATTGGAGGGAGACAAATGCAATTGTGCTTGATTAGCATAAGATAAGGTGATTACATTTGCCTGTACAGATAATCACGTATTATTAATAGTATTTATAATATATAACTCCTTCACCCTCAGATTCGACTTGTAAAGGTTGGAAGTTTTATTTGCGAATTGTATTAACATCTAAATAAACTTAGGCATAGGCTGAGCTATTACTTAATTATTACATTATTACATATAGGTTACCTCTAAATTATTTGTTATTCAAAAACCCAACAAATTAGCTAAGCACACTAGAAAAATATGTAATCATACTATTAAGTATTTACAATCGGAATTTTCTAAAAAGGAATCCGATTTTCATCATGTTACAACTCTCCGATGTAAACATTCTGTCAGTTTTATTTTCCCTTACTTTATTGTCCTATCGTAAACCCATGACAAAAAATATGATACAAAATATAATTATAAATATTGCGATGTAATAGTTCGTGTTAGAGTCCGTGATTTCGTAACTTTTGTTGTTTGGTACGATGTTCTGCACGGGAATTTCGTCCAGTGTGAATCGCTTGAGATGAATTTCCATTTCCGCATCTCTTCGCCTTGTTTGGAGTTTTAATTTCGGCAGAACCTTTGTTTGGACCTTTCCAATGGTTTGGTGGATGAGTCCTTCCTTCAGATAGAAAATGCGGGTATTTGCTCCTTTCATGAGGAATATCCCTTCTGGATCTTTCTGGTTTTAAAATCCTGAAGGCTCTTGATTTTTTCTGGTTGTATGAATATGGCTAGATACTGATTCGTTTCTTGAATATACTAAATATATATGTATATATATATATTATATAGGGATTATATATATAGATATGAAGACGATGAATGTGTTGATGATGTTTCATTTATCATGAGTTCTCTTTCGCATCCAGCATTCAGATTAGCTATCTCTTCATGGTAGCATTGATACAACATTGATAAAACAAGTCCGAAGGTTTGCAAATTTGTCCCAGTTTTTTTTTTTTTTTTTTTTTTTTTTTTTTTTTTTTTTTTTTTTTTTTTTTTTTTTTTTTTTTTTTTTTTNTTTTACGAGGGTTCGCAACAGCAGAGGTCATATAAACCCTCAGGGTGCCGGTGTTTTTGAAAAAAAGCCCATTTGTAAGTATGTCCGGTTCGAATGCAGGGCCGCTGGATTCGAACCCGGGACCTTTACCTTACAGTATATGAGTGCCGTGTCAATGACTAAACCTTGCGGCCACCGACGCCCCTTATTCCCAAAGGTTTAATTTTATCTCTGCCTACTGATTTTAACAAATATCTACTTTCTGGGATGATTGTAACATAACGCGATTTAATCTTTGATGGGATAGAATAAAATTTGAACAATTCATATTTAAGTTGATCATTGATTGGTATGGATAAGCTGTACATAATTTCGTTGAAATGTATTTTAAACTAACACTTATTAAACATTCATACTCTAATATATTTTCCAAGTTTACTTCTTTTGTCATTTGGTTTACATAATGTGGATAAATTTTTAAAAGTTCTTCATACAGTTGATGAGTATTATAATACTAGGACGTGAAATTCTTTGCTTGCGAAATGTTATAGAGTTTTGTCAATGTCTTGGAATGTATCCATAACTAAATTAAATAATATTTGTAAATGATTAATTGTTTCTTTTACAACTTTTAAATTAGTCTATTAAATCTTTCTATTTAACTGTAATATTTTATATCTAATTCTTCGCTTTTATATTTTATAAGTTCTACGGTTTGTTGGAAATTAAAAATGATTTTGTTAATTTCAGAGTATTGAGCGTTTCATTGATTTTGAATATTCATTTGATTTTCTTTTATGATTTATAACTGTCTTGATATGTTTACCATCGTCCTAGTCTAAGTTACCAGTTGCTTTTATTATTGTACCTAGTCCGTTGATAGCTTGATCCTCGTTTTGTTCTGTTGGTTGAGTAAATTTTTATATTATTGCTTTTTCTTTCTACACTAATTTTTGTACAGTTGAAATTTTAATTGGAGGCTCTAGATCTTGTAGTAAAGTTTTGTTTGTTTTAATTGTTGTAAAACTTTATTATATTGTTTCGTAAGAATTTCGTATTCATTACATAGAGTTTCAAGATCATAATAATATATTAATGTGTGTTTTAGTTTGTAATTTAGCGGGTCCGAGATTAATAGTGAAGATCCCCAGCATTGTGAGTTGTGTCTCGGATTGTGGTTCCTTCGACTTCGAGGAGGGGGGACCTGGAACAACGTGAATTTGTTGAGAACATTTCCTAAGTCTCTGAACATCTCACAAGTGAATTTTATTTTGCGTGTTTTAATGTTGTGCGTCTATTTCGTCTAATTTTAGTGTTTTTTTTATTTTATTGATTTTAATATTTGTTTTTCGTGTTACTCTTTTTTTGTTTATTTCGTACATATATTTCTTCCGGGATATCAGGTAATTCTTCTCTATCTTAATTTCGTTTTGGTATAGTTTTTTTCTACGATTTTTGAATTTAGTTGATTAATTTGTTTATATAGTAATAGAGTTTTCTGTTTGTGAGTTTTGATATAATCATTGCATATTTGGCATGCATGAGCAGAATCTCAGAATCTTGAGCAAATGAGGTCTAGTGCGAAAGTGGAGTCATTTCCGATATGACCGTTGATCATGTCAATCGGTTTTGCATTCGTAGAAGAGTGTATTATATTGTTGTATGCTAAGACCGCATAGTTAATTTTATTTTTGATTGAGTCTTTCCGAAATTGTTCTCTATTGTTGAATATCCTTACGTGTTCTAAGAGTGTTGAGGGTATTCTTTCAACGGGTCCGTTGGATTCGGGGTGTTGAGTATTTGTGCAATGTGTTTGAATTTTATGTATTGCTAGTAATTCTTTAACTAACGAGTTGTTGAACGCTGTTCCGTTCTCCAGGATAATTTGTTTCGGCATGTTATAATGGGAGAAACACTTTATTAACTTATTTACAATTTCAATAGCTTCGTTAGATTTTAGTGTATTTTGAAAATGTGTCAATTATTGTTAAGAATTTCGTTTTTCGAAAGTACTGTGTCTATATGTAGTATTTCAAAAGGTGTAGTTCGATTAGGTGTTAAGTTGAATGTCAGCTTTAATGGTATTCTGTCGCATTTCGTTGTTTTACATATCTCACACCCGTTTGTGAAATTTTTGAATTTATTTCCTCATATTTGGCCAATAATAACAGTGTTTTATCCGTTCCTCAGTCTATTAAATTCCTCGGTGGTTTGTTTTCCCGGTGTGATAGTTTTCAATAAGTTCTAATTTTTCTACCTCGACTACTACATCTATTAATTTATTTGTATGTTTAAAAAAGTCGATTTCTGAGTGTTTAAATCTTTTTGCCATCACTGAGCTAAATTGTTAGTAAATGTCATTTTTGAAGAAGATGGAATATCTTGTTTTTGGCACTATGTATGTTTTCACAAGTCTATAATGTCCGCTTCGAAGTTTGTCTTTGAAAGTTGCATTATGTACCTTGTTTTGTTGTCATGTTATTTTACAATTTTTGGTTTAGTGGGGCTTTGTTCGACAAGGGACATGATTATCTGTTTGTTTTCCTTTGTTAACTAGTCCTCCGGTAATGGCAATGGTTATTACAGTATTTCCGTCAGCGTAAAAATGAACTGTCCCTAAGTCAGTTTCGTTGTCGTTTTCCACTTCGTCTACATTTACAACGTACGGGTGGTTTTCTTGTAAATCATGTGGGTTTTGGAAAACCTCTCCCGCTATATGATTATCTAAAAAGAACTGTACGTTTAGCTCGACTCGCGATAACTCATCGGCGGCTTTAATATCGGTGCCTTTGCGATGCTTTATTTCAAAGTCGAATTACTGAAATTTCAATCGCTATCTCATTAACTTCAAATTCGGCTCCTTGATGGAAAAGTACCATTGTATTGGTTTACGGCCCGTGTATAATACAAACTGAGTTCCAAATAAATAAGGTCTGAAGTGTTCGGTGGCCCAACTATCGCTAAAAGTTCTTTTTCAATTGGTGATAAATGAGTTTTACTTTCATTTAGAGTGCGACTTGGAAAAGCAATTGGCAGGTCTGCATTATTTATATTTTGACTGAACTACACCCAAAGCGACGTTACTTGCATCTGTAGTTAAATTAAAATGTTTCGAGAAATCTGGACGTTGTAAAATCGGGCAGTTATAGGATATTTTTACATTTTTCAAAAAAAAAAAAAAAAATATTACATTCCTCGTTATGAAAATCAATTTTTGATCCTTTTTCAGACATTTAATGAATGGTTTAGTTAAATTTTCAAAGTTTTATCTAAATTTTTGA